TTTTTTTTTTCATATTCCTCTTTTTTTACTGTTTATATGATAACATCAAATTTTTTTAACCTTAAATCTAATTTTTTAAATCATATCTCAATTTTTTTTTAAAATATATAAAAATAAATAACTTATATAATAAATATGTATTAAATTAAAAGCTAACATACAAATTAAAATGTAATAAATTTTAACTTAACAAAGTAAAAAAAAACATATGATAAAATTTTGAAAGTTACGAGTTAGAATAAAATAAAGTGAGCCCAACCCAAAGAATAGGCCTAGCATTATTTGTGTGAAGCGAATCCAACCTTCATGATACGTACAGTTGCTATTGGAGGAGAGCCACAATCCAAACAGGTCCTTTAAATTTGACGCAGGTGAAGGCGAGTTCGGAAATCGCCGTGGCCGCTGTTCAGGCCAGCGGAAATGATCCCAAACTGAAACTGAAACGCTCGTTTAGGTTTGCGTTTGCGTTTGCTTTGATGCTCTAATCTTTTGTTTTGAAATCTGAATTGAAGAAATAACATAAAAATGGTGCAAGATTCTGAAAAGAGATTCCATTCCATCATGGACAAGCTATTCCATCCTCCCAAACCCCCTTCCTCCTCCAGGTTCTCTCTTCGATCTTTTTCTCACTTTGCAATCCATGAAATTTCAGAATAACATGATACGAATCACGATAAACATCTATATATACCCTCATTATATTAACATTGTGTAGTTTGCTAGATTCTAGTTACTAGTTCCCAGTGTTTCATCTTGCTAGTTCTGTTGATTTCTTTGCTGTGGAATTTTATTTCAAGTGTTGAGCGTGTCTGCTTTTTCAGCACGTGCTAAACATTGGCTCTATCATTGTTTTCTGTAATCAAAATTTTTGTGGGAAAAAGGGATTGGTAGGGATAAATAATGTGTTTGTGTTTGTGTTTGCAGTTCGTCTGGAGTGCAGTTATCGGGGAGTAAGAAACGTCCTTACCCGTCAGGGGGGATTGAGTTGAATCGGAGGGGGGATGTTGCTGAGGGACAGCAGTCCTCCTCGGCGGCGTCCACGGCACTGCAGGGACCACTCTGCCGACCGTGGGATCGTGGTGACTTTATGAGGAGACTATCTACATTCAAATCTATGTCATGGTTTGCTAAACCAAAGGTCATTTCTTGCTGTCTATATTCTCCCTTTTCTCCCTACTGATAAGGGCTTGTTTGGGACTGGGGTTTTGCAGTGAAAAACAAGGTTGTGAAAATAAAGGGTCATTGCAATAAGTTTATGTTAATCTGTCATTTTAATATATTATAAAATTTGATAATATATATATTGAAAATAAAAAAATTGCACTTCTTTCCCCTTCAAAATTTGGCTCCTAAACACACCTTTAGTGAATCAATTTTTGTGCTTGAATTAATGCGGTACCGCCATCTTAGTGTCATGGTTATATTTCAACGCTTTTAGTATAGTGTGTGGGTGTTCATGCGTTGCAACAAAAATATACGAGGCAGATACATATTTCAAACTGGAAACAACGCTTGAGGAAGGTAAAGGGATTGGGAAAAATACCAAACATTTGGCTAATGGGCAATTTTGCTCCATTCAGTCTATTTTTAAACTATGAAGGAATTTTTAAAAGTAACACTTTTTTGCTAGTGTAAGTACGAAGAAGGCGATGGATGGCTTATATGATTTGTCAGTCCTTTATAGATAAGCTGTTTAAGATAGGTTTGTTCTACTGAACCTCAAAACTAGTTCTATTTGGCTTTCTGCTAGGTTGTTTGCTTTTAATTAAGAATGACAGTCCTGTTGAAGAAAAACGTATCGTTCATTATCAATATCTTGCAAAGAATATCATCTACTTCTATAAAGAAAGCCTCTCGTCTCATGGTTCATGACTTCCCTTTGTCAAGAAATGAATTGGTTGTATATTTAATAAAATTTGGTCTACTGCCAACCTCCTTTGTCATCTTTCTCCAATCTTTTTCCCCCCAAATTTTATGGCATACGATTTTATTTCTGATATTTTCATTTCAGGTAGTGAGTGCAGTAAATTGTGCTAGTAGAGGTTGGATCAATGTGGATATTGACACCATAGCCTGCGAAGCATGTGGAGCACGTCTTCTTTTCTCTACACCAGCATCTTGGAATCAGCAACAGGGTATTCTGTTCTTCTGAGTTATTATATTACAATAACATCATTCAATGATATGAGTTTTCTAACTAGAATGTCTTCTGTTCAGTGGAGAAGGCGGCATTAGTATTTAGCTTAAAGTTGGATAATGGACATAAATTACTTTGCCCATGGATTGATAATGCCTGCAGTGAAACACTGGCACGATTTCCTCCTACAACTCCAGAGATACTAGTTGAAAATTTCAGAGAACACTGTTTTGCACTCTTGCAACTATCAGCTCTTCCACGAATTTCATCTTCTGCTATAGCCTACATTCAAAGCCAAAGTCCACTTCTGGAAGACTTTCTTGGGAAATCTTTGATGCTGGAGTGTGGATATGGATCTACTGAAAATTCTGGGAGTGTGGATTTTAATAGTCAGGAGGAACTGAAATTGTATTATCAGGTAATAACTGGTTTTCTAGTAAGTTCAAAAATCTCGTTTTCTGTATTAGTATGACAACTCTTTCTCGAATTAGTGTATGTGATCTGATATTGGTCTTGTTTTTGTGTCCATTTCTTTGATGCTGAGTGAACACAGCACTTGTTTGCTAGATAGAATTTTCTATATCTGCTTACCGGCTTATGCACTTAATTAACATTTTTAAGAGAGATTCTTCATGTATTTTTGGCTTAGGTGCTGCTTTATCAGTTGATGCTTGCCAAAACTGAACCTGTTTTGAACTGTGATTCATTTGCAAACGAATTAGAACCAAGATTGTCAAACTCATGAATTATGAAAAGTTCTTGCCGGTTTGTAGACTTGAAAACTTGTACTGTTCACATAATACAAAAATAATATCAAGAAATCTTTTTCTAGGGGCATTTTTTTGCTACTTTTGGAAATGGGCGCGGAAGCAGTAATGCTGGTTAGACCTTGACCCACCAATTTCAGAAATTATGTAAAATGGGGACTGACAATACATACAATTTATGCTTATGTGCATGGAAAATTCTGACAAAAAATAGTTAAAACAAAACCCACAAAATGGCAACTGTCACTGCTGGATCATGCTATTTTGGAGCTTAGACACAGCATATAAGTCACAATGGGGTATACTTTCACAGCCTGAGACGTTTAATCAAGTGATGCCTTGTTCTTGCACACAAGAAATTGGTGCTTTGTTTTATGCAGGTCATTGGAGTTGTTAGAGGATGATCATGCACTGCTATACAGTCCTTTCAGGTCGAAGCAAACTCATTTGAGGCTCAGTTTGCAAATCAGTCAGGTTGATTGGAGGCATGATCATATGTGTGGAGTTTTTTCAGAGGCTTAGATGCTAACAAAATGTAAAAAAGACATGGAGTGCTGTCATATTGGCTGTGTGTGTGCTTGGAGTGACGAAATGGGGGTGGGGGGAGTTTAACATTTAGCTCGAGTGATTCACTTTGGGCTCTTAAACTCACTATTTTGAATGGTTCTGACTGAATTTGTTCAAAGTCACCGAGTCAAACGAAAATGATTTGTGTTCAAGTTAGCACATTTTTTCACTCGTAGAATTATATAACAAACAAATTTAAAATTAAAATCATGAGTTTAACAATCACAATTAAGGTTGAAACTTCACTGGTGATTGTATGTATCTGTCTGCTCCATATATATGTTCTTCATTTTTCAGCATAACATAAATGGTTTATCCTGATTTTTTATTATTAAATGGCTAAATGGATTTTATGATTGGTCTCTCGTATCAATATATTTTCATTATCTCTCTACCTTTTTTTTTTCAGGATAACATCTTAGTGTATAAATTAGCATTTCTTTATTTTCTCCATTAAATAATGATTACTGATGCTTTTAAGTTTTGCAGGCCCAAAAGCTTATAAGTTTATCTGGTTGGAAACTTCGTCCTCTACCTTATGTAGTTGAGTGTAAGGATATATCAGAGCAGTCTCTTAAAAATGCAACTACTCTTGCGATTCATTCTGCTCGCACTGATGAAAATAAAACGGATGAAAGTTCTATGGTTTCTATTGGGGAACAACAAGTGGATCCCAATTCTGCAGTATTGGATTGCACCCTATGTGGGGCCACTATTGGATTGTGGGCATTCTGTACAATTCCTCGGCCAGTGGAATCATTCAGACTAGTGGGATATGCTGAAGTGAATGGTGAAAGTGCTTTTGCGGTCCACAATTTACTGAATACAGATGATCTTGAAGATAGACAGGGTGCCGTGCCTGATGTTACAATTTCATCAAAAGATACTTCTTCAAGTCTAAATATGACAATTGCAGGGGGTCCTCCCCCAACAAAGCAAAACTTTAAAGCAATAATATCTCTGCCTGTTATTGGTCAGAATTTATGGGCTCGTCTTTCTTATGATTCTAATTTTAGGGATCATGCTTTTGTTAACAAAGGTGGTGATGAATCAAATTTACAGGAGGAAACTGGCAATATCATTAATGCTTCTATTGGACAACTTGTTCCCCTGACATCTGAAACCAGGGAGACAGCAGATTATGAAACTGGTTCTCAAGCAAGGATCTGTGATTCAGATATTATTGTGGGCACCCATAATGCAGTACAATCATTTTCTCTTAAGGATAAGATGCCTGAACACACAGATACTGATAAATTGAATAGTTCAGCTGCAGGATATTGTAGTAGTTCTCAGGTTAGAGATTTTTACTTGTCAAATTGACAGATAGTAACTTATGACAATTATAGATACAAATTATTGCATAGTTATTATCTTTCCTGTATTCACAATTAGTAAGACTTAACAAAATGATTGATCATAAGTAGTTTTTCCATGACTAGTTGTTTGGAAATCCACATTAACTAAAATATTGCTGTACAGAAAGACTCAACTGAAGGCGAAGCACTTTCTGTTTCACGTAAGACTTCAGATGGCGTAGTTGGTAGTGACAGAGAAGACAATATTGATAGTGAAGATGTACCTTCTAGTTTAGGTAAGCTCTATGATATGGTTCATTGATAAATCATTAACGTTGAATGTTTGTATATGAATTGCCGAGTGAAATATATTCTGACAATTGTATCTTTTCTGTTCTGCATGACAATGTCTAGTTCACTTGTCATTATGGTTAATTTGTTAGAGAAATAGAAAGTTTATGCATCTTCATCCCTTTGCTTTCCAGAGAAATCTAAGAACCCAGCACTTTCTGATAAAGCTATGGAATTTGATCCAATCCGGCAGCACAGACACTTCTGCCCCTGGATTGCATCAATAAATGGCGGGGAACCTGGGTGGAAACAGACATTATCTGCTCTGTATCATCAGAAAAATCAGTTGCCGCATTCACCAAATAGATCTCCCTCATCTCTTCCCATTGTTAAGGTATTTATTGCTGCTATTAGGACTATTATTTAATAATTGGATGACTAATATATATTATAGTGAATTGGCAGATAGCAACATCATGGACCTAAGTGTTTGGAAGGACCCTGTCTTATTCTAACACAATTCAATCGATTATTTAACAGGCTTTGAACAAGAACCAAAACCCTAAATCTATAGATTTAAATTATTCAACAAGATCCCAAGGTTACACTGTAGTTCAAATTAGTAATTTATATAAGCGTGCAGAATGTGAATAATTGCCAATACTGTTGTAAAAAAGACAGTAAGCCTGACAGTCTGAAATTACAGTCTTTCATATTGTCTCTATTTTACTGTGGTTTGTTGGCCAACACTGTTGCAAGTTGCATCAAACTGTTCTTTTCATGGTCTATAAACATCTGAATATGCCTACTTGACTGTGGAATGGTTACTTAGGGAGATTCACTGTCTTTACATATAGCATGTGTGTACATGCAGGTGGATGATCCTGTGGGTTCAATTAGAAAGCTTTTCATGTCTCCACCAACGAAGAGAATGAAGTCCACTCATATTATAGGGCAAAATACTTAATTTCTTGGACCCAGGACCCAGGGCATAAGAGAAGTACTAATTCAAGAACAGTTCCCTCGATCTAGATGTGTATACTGTCATTTTTTTTCTTGGTATGCTATTCTATTTAAAAGCCTTGTATTTGTTGTATCAAAGGTATAATTTTTTTTTAACTGATATATCTTAACAAAAGCAGGTAATCTGTTGCACCCTCGATAACTGTTATTGACGATTAGTTTGTCATTTGGAACCGAGCTGCTGTAATATTTTCCCCCATCGTTTGTAATACAAATGACAGACATTACATAGGGTTGGATGACAGTGGTGATTATTATAGAATGTGACATGTCTTCTTATACATTCCCTGGAAATCACCTATAGAAGGGATTGAATAATACAATTTTGTCTTACTGCATCAAACCACAGTTTGTAACAATGACCTTAGAATAAGGGCGGTTGAATCCTCTTTCTGCTACAACAGCTCTCTTGTCTCCTATCAGCTTTGCCACCCTGTAATAATAATATCAGTATACTTGCAATAATTATCATAGGAACATGTTCAATTGTACATAGCAGCAAAGAGATATAGGGAAGAAAACAAAGAATGGGTGCCTCAAGACCAAGTCCATCATACACGATTCAATAAATA